CTCTCATTTGTTCTTAATCCACTGCAGTTTGGACTGTTTCTCCCACATTCCACCAGAAGAGGTGGAATCATGCTCATCAGTTATCTAGTTGTTAATGCCAACAAACGATTCTCATTTTTTGTGGTTTTACTTGACCCATTGTCACCATTTGGCACTCTTGATATCCCCTCCTTCATGAAACTCTTTCATCACATGGCATCGGTGAGATCACTTTTTCCTGTTTTCCTATCTGTATTTCTGTCTACTCTTTCCTTTACAGGCATAACTTTAAGGATGATGCACTTCCAGTTTCTTCTATTTTCATTATGCACATTCTAATCCAGTCAACAAATACTTATTGAGTACCTGATATATTCTAGGCATTACAGCAGGTGTGCACCAGACAATCACCTTTACTCCTACGACTTTAAAAATATCAGTATGCTGAGGAATCTGTGGCATAATTTCTTTCCTGAGCTGAAAATTTATAGTCTAAACTACCCAATGAAGAACTCCAATTTTATGTCCCTCCAACCAATCCAAACCTAACTCATCATCTTTCCTTCATAAATATACTCTTTCCCTCATACCCTTTATCTTTCTTGTTGGCAAGTTAAAAACCTGGGAGTCATTCTTGATTCCTGCCTCTATCATACAGCCTTAAATTCTTATATCCTTTCAGTTTCTAAATTGTGTATTTCATATTTTCAGATAATAGGGAAGCAATGTTACTGAATAAGAGTAGAGTGAAATCAAGTTAGATTTAAGAATTTAAAGAGAAGATAAGATAGCATTGCCAAGAAGAATTTGGTAGATGATCAACCGAATAATTGTTTTCAAGTCACACATTTAACAGCCATTCTACTTTTATTCCAATATATTTTCACTATTTTTATCTTAAATGGAAGATCACATTTCTATTTTCAAGCCCTCAATATATTGTGGAAGAAAAAAGTCTTCATCACTTCTTATTTTCTTTATAGGATCAAAGGTAGCTATTGTCCTCAGACCTGAAATCCTTGTAATGGAGCTTTCTGTCTGTAATCTCCCTCTCTAACTCCCTAAATTCTTGTTGCTGTTGCAAGGGCAAAAGTCTGTGTCAGGAAAGACTGTTAGCGTCAGAACTGCCTGGCCCTCAGTTCCCACACCTTCCCATCTGGCAGTTTTGTAATTACTTCTGGTTGATTTTCTTTGCTTCATCATTTAGTTGCTGTTGCAAAGAGATAATTTAATCTCTGAAATGAAATAGGCAGAGCCTTTCTGTGAGCTTGGGGCTAGTCCAGCAGTACAGAACCCTGCTATTAGAGTTTGATACCTCTAGTTGCAGTCTTGAAATTCTTAATAATTTTATCTTTGAATTTGTGTTTTGTATGTAAAGTCTGAAGGGACAATGGAGGATGCATGAGGGCTTGGAAATTTGAATCACATTACACGTGATAGTTCTGCATTATAGCACCTCCCTCTTCCTTGGGACGAGTTCTCAGCCACCAGCTCCCTACCACCTGGCACTTTGGGCCTTGTCCAGTTGCTCCACCTCCCCACCTAATCTACTACCACTGCTGTTCTCTCCCCACCCTAGGGGAGGACTGGGCGCAGAGCAGGGAGGATTTCGGTCAAGTTCACTCTCCGCAGTCTTGGCGCAAGGTGTGCTGGCTGTCGTCCCCATCCCAGTCTAGGGTAGGGTCACAGCATATTTAACGGACAAGTCAGCAGCGCCAAGTCTCTAACCTACCCCAATGCAGGTACTGAGTAGGTCCTGATGTGGAGATTGTAGTCCCTAGGAACTTACTTGTCTCCCCTTGGTCGAAGTGCAAGCCCAGAGGAGGGCAGATGCCTGGCTAAGCTTCTTGGGCTACAGCCTGGGCATGGCATATTGCTTCAGTGGGAGCAGGAGGGGGAACCTGGCAGTAGGTGGGTCAGGCATGCTGAGTCTCACAGGGCCAGTTCTCCACACAACCGTGAAGATCTCCACTTGCCCGGCAATATCTCCTTGCCCAGGGGAGTGAAATATTACATAACAAAATGTAACACCATGACAAGTCAGGAGAGACCAAAGAAGAAAGGAACAAACTTTACACTTTTTTCATATTTAAAAAAATATGTATATCCACATTTTGACTTTGCACTGGGCTTTGCAAATTGTGTAGCCAGTCTTGTAAATAGGGAGCAGGTAATTTTATTGTCAAATACTGGCCAAAGCTATTTCATGGCAGCTGAAATTAAATCTTCTTAGATCATAAGTATTTATCCCAAGTTACAGAACACAGAGAAATAGGTTTTGTAGGAGAACTTATTAATTCTAATTATTGAAAGTAAGTTTCCTTTCATGATTCACGCCTTACTCTATAGGGATTCTTTATGAGGAATTTTTAATGTGTGAAGTTTATTGCTTGGCTTCCTAAAATATCTTAGGTGCTAACTTTCCAGACAACGTGAAGGTGGAAGTCTATTAAAAGGTGACTTCTCAAATATGTAATTCTATTATATGTCATTATCCTTTGCAAGGAACAATTTCACAAGTGTAAAGAACCGGGTATTTAAATTAAATTTCTTTAATTATTCAGATAATATGATTTCTGTCCTGATAAAATTTAATTGTAGATTTTCTTGAACTTAACTATTTGTTTTGTTTAGACATAGTTACAGAAATAGTTTCCTGAATTAAAGAAAGAATAATTATCTGAGTTTTTGAATTTCTTTTAAATTCTCTTTATAATTAAAATGGGAAAAAGATATACTCTGAGGCTCAAATACGCAGTTTGATATAAATATATTTTTAATTATCAGAATTGACAACTCCTATTCCCTACCACAAAGAAAGACAGAAACACAGTAAGCATAAAACTGCAGAACCATGACCAGCAATCTTTCCCAAGCTAGCGTTACGCTGCTTTGCTATGAGAATGTGAGCAGATCTTGTATTAAAACTCCCTACTCGCTTGGATCCAGACTGATTCTCTACGCAGTGTTTGGCTTGGGGTCTTTACTTGCTGTGTTTGGAAACCTCTTGGTGATGACTTCAGTTCTTCATTTCAAGCAGCTGCACTCCCCAGCCAATTTTCTGATCACCTCCCTGGCCTGTGCTGACTTTCTGGTGGGCATGACAGTGATGCCCTTCAGCATGGTCAGGTCCGTGGAGAGCTGCTGGTACTTCGGAGCCAGATTTTGTACCCTTCACAGTTGCTGTGATGCCGCATTTTGTTACTCTTCTCTCTTCCACTTGTGCTTCATCTCCATCGACAGGTACATTGCTGTTACTGACCCTCTGCTCTATCCTACCAAGGTCATGGTGTCTGTGTCAGGAATTTGCATCAGCATCTCCTGGATCCTGCGCATTGCATGTAGTGGTGCCGTGTTTTACAGTAGCTCCTATGAAGATGGAATA